GTGGTGTGGCAGACCTCTCCTGACCCGCCCGCTGCTCCCCTCAGCAGTGTACTTCATCAATCTGCCTGTTCTGTTCCCAACTGTTTCTGATGAATCCTCTCACCCACCACACCTCTGGCCTGTCCCCCAGTTCTGTATGCATAAATAAATAAATCTTAAAAAAAAAGTTAGCAGTTACTAACCACTTACTGCATATACCAGGAACTGTCAAATGGTTTGCATGAACCACTTCATGTAAGTTTCTCATAACCCCGCATGAAGGGTTATTATCCCCATCTGGAGAATCTGCAAAACAGCCCCAGTCATGGCATGAGTAAATTGAGGAGCAGCGAGGAAAATCTATCCCCTGGGATATAGAGTCAGGTCCGGATGAGGCCAATGAGCAGGGTCAGGCTGGTCAGTACAGCTCAGATCCTTCCCTTTACTGAAAATCATGAATTTTATTCATTATGGATTATTTACATTCATCTTTGTTTTTAGTTGCCTACAAGTCTTTTAGTCCTCACAGGCCCCAGTCCAGGCCCTAGCCCTAGCTCTCGGGCAGTGCAGAGTGGAGCAAGACAGAGAACTGTCACCCAGAGTGGCTTTGAAGTCTTGCATCGACCACTTGCTCATATAACTTGGGCCATTTACTTGATCTGGCTGTGTCTTTTTTAGCCTATAGCAACAGATGATAATAGCGGTACCTGCAACAGACATGAGGTCATTGACTTAGAGCAGCACCACACAGGGAAGCAAGCCCAGGATCTTTGCTGTTACTGTGTCGCTGCTGTTATGCCCCCTGGGGCTGAGGATGAGGGTGAGAGAGACTCGGGGACGAGAAAGCTGGCGCTTGTCCTGCAGGGTGGTTAGGAGAGGACCTCACGGACACCGGTGAACCTGGAACCCAGCCTGAAGCATTTTCTCCCCAACAGGTCGTCCATGAAATTCGAAACTACCCTTACCCTCAGCTTCACTTCCTTGCTCTCCAGGGTCTGAACCCCAGCAGACACACCTCCGCCGTGCGGGAGAGCTATGAGGTAGGCCCGTCTGGGACGCCACCTGCCAGCCTGGTTCCCACCCATTTGGTAGAGGTACTCTAGTTAGTCATTCTCCTCTCTCCCTCCTCCACTGCTGGGGAGAGTGTGGTGGTGGGGGGAGGGAGGGCAGCGAGGGGGAACCCAGACTTGATGATAAGAGAGGAAAGGCAGGGAGTAGAGATGTTTTGGTGCTTTGCTCAGGCCAGATTTTCCCAATGGCTGTGTGAATGCTTCCTGCTAACATCGTTCAGTGTCCCTGCTCCTCAGTGTGTGTGTGTGTCCTGTATGAGCACACCCACACTTTTCTCTTGCAGGAGCTTCTGCAGCTTGAGGACAGGTTGGGAAATGTGACTCGGGGAGCTGTACAGAACACCATTGAGCGGTTCACCTTCCCCCACAAGTATAAGAAGGTGAGCCTGCAGGCCAAGCTGCACAGTTGGGGGTAGAGGGTTGACCTTGGCCCACCTGTCCACCGAGGACTCAGACCAAAACCTAGCCGGCTTCGCTCCGGTTAGATGCTCCAGAGCTGGGCTACCCCTCAGGCCCTTCTTCGCTGCTGCCAGGAGTGGTCAGAGGGAGGTCAGGAGGGGACACTAATCTCCAGGCTGCATCAGATCAAGGAACTCCAGGACTCAGGACCAGGGACAAGAGTGGGGAGACACACTGTGTTGGGCTGTCCCTGAGGTCAAGGTGGTCTCTGGGTGGTCTTTATCTTGTGACTCTTCAGATGTATCTTTTGGCAAAATGAGCTTTAAGTCTTCTGATGCCTGAAGAGGCAACAGTAGGTAACTAGTTTTTCTTCTAGACTGTTTGCACGGTGCGGAGATGGGAGCAAGAAAGGTAGACTAATTTCATTCACTGATTCCATCTCCCCGCCAAGCTCCGACCCCCAGCCAGAGTACTGACTGAGCATCAGTGATGGGCTTTGTACAGTGAAGTGTGGGGCTGTAACTAAAGAAGGGTGATGCGCCTGCTTCACACCGTCTGAGAGCTGAAACTTTCCACATAGTGGTTAACTATTTTCCAATAATTATCATAGCATTTAAAACAGGACAGTTAAAACCAACACATATAAACGGGTGTCTGCACTGATGCCTGAACTCAACGGTGGAACTAGCACCTATCTTAAAAGAAACTTTTGGGTAGAAAGTAATAAGTTCACGCTCAGAAGCAAAAATAAAGTCCAGTTGGTCTCTTCCCCACTTGACTTTAGTGGCTTCCTGCTGAAAGGAAGAGGGCTCGGGAGGATTCGGGGCGCCATCCAGAGAGCACTGCAGTCTGAGCATTACTAGAAATGCAAAGCGAATGCTCACTGGGGAAGAGGCTGGGGGTGGGGGGTGCGGGGGACAAGATGATGGCCACCAGTGACAGGTGAAAAAAAGAAGTCCTCCTCTGCCTCTCCCAGCGAAGACCGCAGGACAGCAAGGGCAAGAAGGAGGACGGGGAGGACTCAGACACGGACGAGAAATGCACAATCTGCCTGTCGATGCTGGAAGACGGGGAAGATGTGAGGTAGGGGGCGGCCTCTCTCTGCTGTCTCAGGTACCCCACGGGCGGCCTTAGCCGTGTGTCTGGCGGGAGGGTGCTCCGGCATGCGCATGCGCACTGAGTGTGAGCGCGCTTGGAGTGCCCTCGTGTGCTGCTTGGTTAAACTAGGGAGGTGGGAGGTGGGATGTTCTGGACGTGTGGTGGCCAGAAGTTGGACCTGTGGATGCGAGGCATGGAGAACAGTGTGGTATTTGGCCTGAGTGTGTCTAAGACCGCCATGACGTTGCTTCAGTTTGATATGGCAGGGCTTCCTGGAGGAGGGGTCCTTTGGCACCTCCTTCCTGTCTCCAATTCCCTTCCCAGCCACCGACTTTGGCCAATGCCGCTCTGGTTCCAGCTGTGTGTCTCCTGGCCCCAGAGTAGCCAGGATCCCTGCTCGTGGTACAGCCCCGGGGACTCCCCACACCCTTCCCCTGAGTGCGCTTCTCTCTTGCAGGCGTCTTCCCTGTATGCATCTCTTCCACCAGCTGTGCGTAGACCAGTGGCTCGCCATGAGCAAGAAATGCCCCATCTGCCGAGTGGACATTGAGACACAACTGGGAGCCGACAGCTGAGGGAGGAGTTAGCCAGTGGACACCCCATTTTCCTTCACCAGGTCCCCCCCACGGCCATAGCCCTTGCAGCCAAACTTTGCCTTCTGAGCCATTTGATGTAGAGGAAAAGCCTGCAAGCACATTTTGTGGAAAGAGGAGTTGGAAGTGTCAGCGTCTGAGGGAAAGGAGGGGTGGGGGGAAGACGAGCTATCGGGAATGGTCAGGGCCCCCTTCACCTCGCTGCTGTGCAGAGGGAGGGAGCTGGCCGGAGCAGGGGCGGGAAGGGGGGGCCCCATGCTGCTGAGAGTCTAGATGTGATGCTGAAGGTCCTAGCTGATCAACCGGCCCCTCAATCCTGTCCTTGGAAGGATTGTATATATACCTCTCGACCACGTAGAAACCATGTAGGGGTCTCTAGCTATTTCTGTGGATGGCAGCCAGAGCATGTTAGCTTAAGAAAAATGTCGTGTGTGGTGCTCTAGTCATCTTGTGGTGGACATGTCGCTATTACCGAATTCGCACCAAATATTTCTCATTGAGTTTCTTGTTTTGGTGCCTGACTGAACCCAACCAACGACAGCCCAAATCTTCCCGCCTTTATGAGAGGAAAGGAAAAAGGAATCCAAGGTGAAAAAAAAAAAAAAAAGCCAAATCCTGTTTACAGTGAAAAGGATGATTTTTTTCACCCAGGTTGGGAGGCGGGAGGGGGGGTTGTCTCGTTTTGTCCTTGGTTTTGTTTTCTCTTTAGCTTTTGTTTTTCTCATGTTTACAGTGCACGGAGCATGGAGGGGGTGTCTCGGAGAGGGGGGGACTGGAGAAGGAGCAGGCGGGGGTCTCAGAAGGGACTCTAAGGGGCTCAGTCAAGGTTAGGAAGGGTTTGAGTAGGTGAAGGGGAGAATTCTGGTGTGGAAGGGGGCTCCCCAGTTCCAGAGCTCATTTCCTTGTTTCCAGCCATTCCTCCCCACTCCGATTCCACAAGGAACCAGGGAGAGGCTAGCCTTTGGTGAGAGTTGCCCTCTTGTTCCTCAAAGCCAGGATGCCCTGGTCATGCCAATTCCTTCCTCTCAGCTCTGCTCATGCCCTGCCACAAAGAGGCAATGGGGTCGGTCACTGCCTCCTTATGCAAAAAAATTTAGCCAGCCGATGAAGACAGAATAGTATTAAATCACGGACTTCTAGTCTTGGCCGGCATTCTCAGTTAGTCCACAGGGGCTGAAGTGAAGTCATGGGCCTCGAGAATGACCTTGAACTTCCTTTTGCATGTCTGGGATCCTCTTGGAGTGTCTCAGAGGTGACCCTGGCCCTGAGTGCACCTTGGCTGCTTGAGGGAGCTCTGTGTCCCTCACCCCTGGCTCTTTGATATTCCTGGGCAAGTCCCTTTCTTTCTCTGTGCCTCTGTGCATCCCCACTGCCACCTGCTCTACCTCACCTAGACGTCGTGAGGATACATCCTATCTGCCTGATGCGTCCTATGCTCTCTCCTGAGAGGATCCTTGGGGTGTAGAGATGGGGGCCGGCGGGAGAGACAGATGTGGGAATTCCAAGTGGCATCACAGCATGCCTTTGTACCCCACCCCACATGTTCCTGAACCTTAAAGGGAACAGAAAGATGGGAGGTCACATGCATGGACATGAGAAAGATCCACCGAATTCCAGCTCCAACCCAGCTTCCTTTGCCCATGTGCAGAAGACAGCTCCACTGGCATTTTGCTCTCTTCCTTTGCTCCCCACTCCAGCCTCTCATTTGCACTGCTCAAGGATATGATCCCGGCCCCCTGACCCCATCTCAAGGCTCTTATAACAGAAGAGTAAGGGGGACAGGATTCTTATCTCATATCTGAAAAAAAATCCATTGCTGCTGCAAAAGGATAAAACTAAAGCCAATGGGTAAAATGCCCGGGAAGCAGATTCAGGTTGAGGTGGGGTCTTCTGATACAGCCAGAGCTGTGAGCAAGGGGGCTGCCCTGAGCTTCTGGTCAGAGGGTCACTGGAGGCTCCTATTCAGACGAAGGCCTCTCCCAGGACCAGCACCCTGGTGCTCTGTAACACGTGACAGAGAGCACGCTCCTGCAGGCGCTGGGAGAGGCCACAGCAAAGGAGACAAGCCTGAGGACCTTACTGTCTAGCTGAGGAACCCCAAGGAACAGCAGAGTGGGATTTGGGCTCCTGGCAGTGGGCCCTACTTGGTTCAATTCACTGATCCCAGGCTGTGAACAGCATCTCCAGGGCCAAAGGCGGATCTAGCCAGGCGGGAAGAAGGGCATTTACCATTCTCCCCCTGCTTTGCCTTGCAGGTAGCCAAGGTCACTCAGGGAGGGTCACTCCCTCTTTGTCTCTGGCTTTTCTTCCCTTTGAGGTTATCTTAAAGGCTAGCAAGTAGAAGGGGGTGAGCAGGGAAGACAGGACGGGACAAGCTCCCGTGTCTGGGGCGCCAGTCTTGGCTTTTCAGCGGAACATGTGGGCAGTGCTAGGCCTCAGTTCTGGCAGACCTGGTCTCTGGGCCTCAACACAAGGAGGTTGGTTTGGACTCTTGCTCGGCTTCCCCCAACACCCACACTCTGGTCCTTCCTAACATCGATACAGCTTTCAAGTGGGTAGAGCTGTGTGCCCATGGAACTGTTGAAAACAACCTTTCATGGCACCAGCATCTGTTTCAGGGATTAGGGTGTGTGTGTGTGGAGGGGGTGGTGGGATGTGTTCCCCTCCTCCTTTCAGTTCTCTCCAGATTCCCTGGGTGGCCAGGCTGACAGATTGGGGTGGGGAGACCACAGGTTAGCCACTAACCTGGAGGTGGATCCTGAAACCCCCTTCCCCCCTCCTCTCTGGAGACCTGTCCTCGCAAGGTGGGCACAGGAAGTGACCTGGACTCAGGCTCCTCCCAGCTTCCCCACTTCCCCTGCCAGGCAGTCACCTGGGTGACAAGAGCGGAGAGGGGTTCTGCATTTCTGATCCCCAAGGACCCCTCCCTACATTGGTCCAGGGCTCGGGAAGAGCGGAGCAGAGGCAGGGTCGGTCCTCAGCATCTCACACCCACCATCTCCAGGAGGGGCGACCCTGTCTGTAGTTCTCCTTCGCTCCACTCCAGGGACTCAGACCCTGTCTTGACTGAGACGCATGAGTGCCTTCTGGGGCGACAGCTGCCCCAGGATCCAAGTCGGGGCTCCTCCTAGCGCCGCGCAGCCCTCGCCGCCACGGGCCCACCGAGGACACCAATCAATGAAACCCACGCCAGGACCCCAGTTGCGGGCGGAGGGCCCGGAGGCGTGGGCTTCTCCTCCAGCCGGGACCCCTCGGGCTGCCCCCCTCGCCCACCGCCTGTGGCAGGACTCAAGCCCCTCTTCCGCCAAGGCTCCCGGCCTCCGTGCAAGTATTCTTAACTCTTTACGCCTAGTGAACAAGCACAGTTTTTTCAATGGTGAAGAAAAAGCACCAGATTTTTTTTTTTTCCTGAAGAAATCCCCCAACCCGCCTGCCGGCGGGACAAACACTCCCCGCGTGGGGCTGTAGCAACGTCTGTCAGGTCCCCCTCGTGTTTCATCTCCTGCGCGCGTAGAGCAAATGCTAGAGCGATTTCAGCTGATAGAAAAACAAAAATGAAAAAAAAAAAAACACAAAAAACAAAAAACATGGCACGTTGCTAGTTTACAGGGTTTTGTGAGTTTAAATGCCTTATATTTAACAATCATAATTTATGACTAACTTGTAGATATTGTGGGTTCTTATTTAATTATTTTTATAGTTGTTTTGCATTTTTAATTATAATTTATTTATTTAGAAAGGATACTAATTTTTTTTATTACTCCTATTACCTCATTTTGGCGTTGTTTCTGGGAGTGGAATGCTTTGCATGCATTGGTACGATGACAAACAACTACGAATACAAAAAAAATTTTAATTAAAATTCCGCGAACTTTATTTCGTCCAGACTATCAGGGTGTGTGATTGCAAGCTGTCCTACTGTGGTGCTGGCCTCTTTGGATACATTCCATACGAAATGCAAACCTTTGATTCTGTATGCTGTGATCTAGTGAAAAACTCCAATATAGTGACTGTATTTAGCACATATATAAATATAATTTGCACTCGTCAGCTGACTGGGGTAATCCTTTCACTTGCCACTCCCCTTGCTTCCTCCAGCCCCCACCATCAGCCTGTTTTTCCTTCTTCCTGGTCCCTCCCCACAACCTTAGCCCCCACCGCTCTCCATCCTGGGAGGAAGATCTCGGTTTCAGAATTGGGCCCTTTGTACATGACTGGCAGGAGCGTCCAAGAGCCTAAAAGCCTGACATGTCAGTGCAGCCTGGATTGCTGTCAGGAGGCACAGGTTTCCGGGCCACGCCTGCTGCCTGAACTTTCCCGAGACCTTGAGCAAGTCACCGGGTCTCCCCAAGTCTCCATTTTCTGGGTGTGGTTGAGAGAGGTGGATTGAAGGATCTTCAGGGCCGCTCAGACTCCGAATATGGCCGATGCGGTGAAGAGCGCCAGCTCCCCTTCTTGGGAGAGAAGGCTAGGTTGGAGAAAGGATGAAGGGAAGGGGGAAGAGAAAACAGGAGAGGAAGAGAGAGAAAGCCAAGAACTCAATACTTCCCTAACAATGGGCAGGTTTGTTGGAAGGAGATATCCAGAAGGGTCTTCACCCCTTTGCCTGTAGACTCCTGCAGGTGGCAGGGAGGTCAGCCAGGTGGACCGTCCCTGGACACAGAGTGTGCTCCTTCACCAGCTCTCACAGTTGTTCGAGGCGAGCTGGGCCCTGTAGCCTGTTCGCTGTGAGGACAGGTAGCAGCACACAACCCGAAGCTGCAGTGTTTGGGACGGGCACCCTTGTTCTTTCATCTTGAAGCAGACTGGGAGGCAGGTCTTGGCCTCAGAGTCCCTCGTCCCCAGCATCTCATCCCTCCCTCTCTGCCGTTGCTCCCTGAGGGCTGGGGGCAATGGCGTTGAAGACTGGCAGCAGCAGGTCCAGATGCCTCAAGCCAAAAGGAGAGAGAGGAGGTCCCCCAGGAGCCCCTGAGCAGGCTGGGCCCCGGTCAGAAGTGCCTGTGCTCTTCGCACGTCCCTCTGTCCTGCCTTTCCTTCCTTTCCAGCTCACCCTTCCTCCTGCCTCTTGACATCACTGCCTTTGCCTGGTGGAGAAACCCACCCTCCACATGAGGCCCCTGGGATGGTGCTGATGGGGGAGGAAGCAGAGGTCCAAGTGGCCGCTCTGCCTGGCCGGCTTGCGGGAGCGGCTGGGTCTTGCATGTCCAAGCTGTGCAGGGGCCCTCAGCTCCAACTTAGCTCTGGCCGGACGATGGGTCCCCTTCCCCGGGCTTTCCTGCCTGCTGCCTGCCAGCTCCCCCTCTGCTCTGACCTGGAGTCTTGCTCTCCTACTTTCCTTGCAGATGGCCTGTGGAGTTGAGCCCTGGGACACACGGCCACCACACTGGCAGACACTGCCCCTTGGCAGGGCTCCTGGACAGACATGCCTTATGCTGCTCTGCAGGGCCAGGGAGGAGGGGCCCCTTGCCTTGCTGGCCTGCGCCCCCACCCCTCCTCACCCCAGCTCTCCTCTTCCCTCCCTCACCCCACCTCTGGCCTTTGGCTGTGGCTCATTTCTCAGCTATGGAGCCAGCGGCAAATCCCTGCAGGGGGGGATTTGGTTGCCCCTGGTAAGT